GGAACAGAAAATGAAATAATTATTTTAATGTTTAGAGCAGCAGGAACTCCGAGAGGCTGCAGGCGCATCAGTGAGTTTGCGGCTGCTGCGCAGGGGGAGGGGGGAGAGGGCTGAAGCAGAAACTACCGTTGTTAAAAGAAATGTGTTTAACTTTGAAAATGTGGGCGCAATTTAAATTTTCAAAAACTCCAGCGAACCATTAGTTCATTTTGCTCAAATAGAAATAGAGGCCTGCCTCTAATTCTGGTCCTCCTTCCAATAAAGGCCTGGAGCTTGATGAACTTGAGTCGAATACAGGCCTGGGCCTGTATTAGAGGATTTACGGGATATATATATAATCAGGTAAAATACGAACGAGTTCAGTTAACAAAAAAAACTAACAAATTCACAAACGGTCGTTCAATGAATGCATTCGGGCACAACACTTCCACTGGGTTTGTAACACTGTGCAGTAGAAACTTCTAACTCAGATAAAACTTTGAGTTCAAATATCTACTTTTATTTTGTGGTGCCTGATACCTGTCTCATTGGTGTTGATCGTCCCGTGTGGAGGTCCAGGTCCAGGTATTCCACTTGTTTTTCAGCTTTGGCTCGTTGTACCAGTGGGCTGCCAACCCCACCTTCAGACACTCGGTGGAGCATAAGCCTGAGAGACTGCACACACACATTCAAAATGTGGACAAGGGGGTGTGTCCTGATCTGACAATAACTGTTTTTATATCATAATTTGTTTCTACATTCTGTCTTCCAGCTGTTATTTTTCTATACCCACCAAAGGACTGCAGACAGAAAATAGTAATGTTTGCTAAAATATGATAAAATATACTATCTAGGAAAAGATCAGTAATGAAGGAAATCAAGGCTGACAGGAAGGAAGTAAGGACCAAAAAAGGAGAGTTTGAAAGTGAAGCTGCAAGGAAAAGTTCAGCAACTGTTTGTAGAGGTTGGAGGTGGAGGAGTGTTTACCGGCTCCTCGGCGCTAAAGCTGAGGTTGGATGTCGTCATGGTGACATAGTTTTCATCAGGGTCATCAGAATCAGAAGAGAGAGAGGAGCTTTGGGCCGAGCTTGGTCTGACTGACCAATGACTGGACGGACTGCAAAACAAATAGAGTCCAGATCATAACGCACGACATTATTCCTTTATTTTAAAGGATTGGGTCCTGTTGCCTCCCACCTGCCCTTACAGGCTGCAACACCTGGATATGGCTGCATGGTGGTGGCAGAGCACAACACAGTTCTGATGATCATGTAGGGTGACTGAAGCTTTTCCTTGTATTTATGTATTTACTTTTGGCGACATCGTTACTTAAATGTTCCTTTTAAACTCACCCTCGTGTGAAGGTTTGAGTGATAGGTGAGCGTACAGGGGGCGGGACTTCCTGCCAGTCCTGGGACATCGGCGTGATTTCCAGAGGAGCTGGTTTCACTGGAAAACAGAAACAAATGATTTGTTTTTGTTTTTTAAGCTTTGAAACGAAACATCCAAACACTCTCTGGGCGACAACATTCAGGGAGAAACCAAACTTTCTCATGTCGCCAAAGCTCCATTTCTCTAAGGCAGCTCACCTGAAAGAACATGAATTAAAATATTATTTCACTGCAGACAATTAGACTCAAAAGAGTGCTGACAAGGGCTGCATTCCATTTAGAAGCTGTTCTGCTCGTTAGCCGAATCAGCCCGCCTAGCTGTAGAAGTGGAATGCAGCCCTCACTGAAAGATTGTACGTTTTAAATGGGCCCAGAGATGTTTCCTCGCTTATCCGTGTAATTATTTTGGTTTAGGGTGACGTCAGTTTGAAGCAGTGTTAATGTTTCATTTCTCTAAGCTGCTGCATGTTTTCTGCTGTGTTGCTGTCAGCGCCTCATGTTGAGCAAAGTGGGAGCAGGTAAATAATTAAAGCCTAACACGGCTTAAAAGAGCAAGAGCAGCACTAAATAACTGAGATGTGAAGCAGGGAGGCTGGAGACAGGGACGTAATTTTCACTTTAGAAGTGGGGGGGCGGGGTGGGGGGGGGTATCTTTACAGTATGCTCTAATGGGAAACTGGCTTCAACACAAACGGTTGTTTTCCGCTTGGTCCTAGAACTCAACCAGTGTCAATTTAATATAGCGTCATATTGTTTTTGGATGGTAAAAAGTGCAGGGGTCAAAACTTGACTTTGGAAAAAGTGGGGGGGACATGGACCCCCCCCCCCCCCCCACACACACACACACACACAAATTACTTCCATGGCTGGAGAAAACGTTGGGATGATTCTTAAAGTCTTTTCATGGGGCAACATCCTTGGCAGCACCCCTACAGGCAGAAGGTATGGGAGAGGAGAAACCTTGAACTGATTCAGGAACAGAAACTGGCTTTAGACCTGAACTGGTTTCAGAACTGATCTTTTTGTAGAAGTGGTTTTTGTACAAAAAAGGAGAAAAACATGTTTTGCAGAAACTCAAAAACATCCAAAAATGCGGATTCGTGCAGAAAGTTAAAGTTAAGAGGAAAACAACTGAGGATCGTTCTTTATAACTTCCTCTACCTCTGAGGTGTTCATCATTGTTCAGTCTTTCATCAGGTTTTTAGACCTGTGTTAGTTTTATTTGCTCTGTGCCAACACTGATTTCATTTTAATCCCATTCCAACAAAAAAAAAAAAAACCTTTTATTCTGAAATTCTGTTGGTTTGTGAAGTTCACATGTAAAAATGACTGAAAATACAAACTAATCCTATTGTGGACGATCGTTAAGTTGGATTTATAAGATGGGTTTTGCTGGAGAGTTCTGTAAATATCCCAAACTGTGATTTTAATTATGTAACACCTGTATGACACGCTGATGCTTTTGGAGCCCCTAACTCGTACCTTTGACTTTTTGCGTCAGCTCTCCGGGAGTCTGGCTGTGGCTTTTGTTCGTCTGATTGATACAAACTCCTGCAGACGATGAGAGAAAGTCAAAAGAGATTTTATTGTGCTTATAAAGTATCAGTAGCATGCATTAAGTTGTACTGGTTAGGGTTGACACTAACTAGAAGCTTCTAGGTAGCGTTTCACCACCATGTGTGAACGGAGACATAAAGACGCCTCCACTGACCTTTCCACTGGGGTTTCAGGTTGCGGAGGATCGGAGGCGGGACGACTTCGCCCTCACCTCTACTGCTGTTCACAGCATTCCTTCGGAGAGGCGGGGTCGAGGGAATGACCGGTGTCCACGAGGAATTACGGAAACCCATGTGGGCAGGTGGGGGAACCTGCCTCCCCAGAATTTCCAAGTCGCTTGTGGTAGAAATGGGATTAGCCGGAAGGGAGGAGGAGGAGCTCAAGGGGGTCATGGGGACGTAGTTGCCATCTTGAATCTGGGCAGAATGGTCTGGAGGAGGAACAGGAAGAACCCTGGAATAAGATTATAAATAAACATCCAAATTATTATTCTTATTTTTGCAAAACTGATGAATAATAAGGATCTGATAAGATGTGTCTATGCATAGGCGGAGATCCCAGGGGGACGGGGTGGACGCGTCCCCCCCTCACACAAAGTTGTCCCGCCCACAAAAGTTATTGTAAACACATAAATGCTATCAGTAAACCTGTATTGTCTTCTAAAACCACAACATAAAAGTTGGTCTGCAAATACAAAACAATGTGTTTTTAATTGTTGAGAAATTATAGTCCCCCCCCCCCCCCCCCCCCCCCCCCCACACACACACACACACACCCCACCCCCCCAATTCCTCAAGTTGGTACGGTCGGTCCACACGCACTGTTTCCAACGGGCGGGGCTGCCGGCTCTGCCCCGCTCACAACTTTATAGCAGCCCGCGCGCTCACAGGAGGCGGGAATCAAAAAGCCAGCGGTTTCCAGCAGTAAGTCATTTATCACACGCTTGTTCTACAAACTTAAATATGTATGTCAGATGTGGTCATAAATGTCAAACATTGACACCGATTATCTTTAGATTTTGATCACCGGTCGGAGATCCCTTTATGACAGACCACCACCACCACAGTAAAAAAAAATAAGTTGTCACTTCATGTTCTCTGGTCATTCCAGGATTATTCTGCTATTATTATTCCATTCACTAAGGTGATCAAAAGTTCCTTTTTCCGGACACGTACGCTTTCACGGTCTTCCCCTGGAATCTGCGGAGCATTTATAGATCGATGAAAATGTCCGCGTTTCATCCTATTTAGCAGATGAATATGGTAGAATCAAAACTAACTGGTCCGATGTATGGAAAATCACAGCGTTTAACCGCTCTTATCCCGTCTTCCCCAGGCTCTGCAGTTGTTTACAATATGTCAAAGTGCAGGTGCACCGTGCAGCTTAGGGATGAACTGGTTGCAGCAAATGTGTGGTGGAGGCACGTTGCTCAAAGCTCTCAGTGTAAAACATAGAGCCAAAGATCCCGTTGGCCACACAGACCCAGAAACACTATGAAAACTGAGAAAAGTGAGAGATCTGTTAATCTGAAAGATAAACTATAGAGTATGTATGTTTAGTGTATTTGTAAAGTAGATGTTTTTAATTTTTATTATTAAAATGAAACAAATATTTCAAGAATATATTTTTTAGATTTTGTGCATCTTTTCATTCAGTAGGACTTAGATAAAGTTATTAAATATTACAGAGTTATTCTCTAATAGCCTACAAACATTTCTATGATTTATTAAAGAGATTTCAGTCATTTTGATACTTGACTTGTGAAAGCTGATTAGAAGGTTGTTTTTTTTTCTAGACATATTTAGAAGGAAAAATTCAAATGTATTAAAATCAATATGGAACTATTTGGATTTTAGTAGCTTTCATGTTATGTGATTTAATAAAATTTTAATTTGACATTTATGTTCTCTCTCTTTGTTGTGAAAAAGTTAGATATGTTTTAGTACTTAAAATTAATGCTTTGCATCCGTCTACACGTGTAGCTGTTGGTCAGCTAATAGCCGTGTCATTTCAGGACATGTTGCTTCAACTATCAACGATCTACTTTTAAATCTTTATTCTGAATTGCTTATTCCGTTTTAGGCCACAGTCTTGTTATTGAAATGAAAACAAAAAGAAAGGATGCTTATGGAGATGTACATCCCATCTGTGTGTGTGTGTCGCTGTCCAACTGTCAGCAGACCAGGTCAGTTGAAATGGCAGAGAAATGAAAAACGGCAGACATCAGGTCGATTTTTAATGCTCCAGAACGTCAAGTAAGTAGAAACTTGCATTTTGATAAAGACATCTATAAGAAAGAAATGAAATGCCTATGAAATTGTTTCTAAATGGTTTCATTAGGCAAAGTCCAGTCACTTGAGCACAGGCAGCCAGAGCCTGTCAGGCACAGAGTCGCAGGTCAGTCTCTTATAAGGACATACAGTGTTGTATGTAGAGAGCATTTTTTCATGTCCCCCCCAAAAATTACTCTCTGAAGTTTTACTGTTTATTGTCCCCCCCCCAAAATTGAAATGGGATTTCCACCCTTGTGTCTATGGGTAATAAATGTTTCCTTTGGTTGGCTTCCCTCTCTCAGAGTTACCAGAGACGGGTTTATTTATCCCGATGAGGATTACCTGCAACCTTTCCACGTTAATAAATCATTTTCCTGAGCTAGGATGTGCTAAGATGACCCTTTACAGGGTTAATGAAAAGTCACTCAGACCCCCAACACTCTCTGTGGCCAGAATATTGCACTTGCAACTTCAGAGTGCCGGCCGCCACTTGTTGGACTTAATAAAAATGGATCGGACATGCCTGACACTGCAGTCTGATTGTTTTCTACATGAACACAGTTGATTTGTTTAATTTAGCGATGCATCACTCCTGTAGACACTAATGGATGCTGGGAGACATTTCAGCAGTTAGATTAAGGTGTTAAGAAGACGAACGCACCGCAAGGAGGTAGTTTTTGCTTTTGGTTCTACTAAACGCACACTAGGGGGAGCTAAAAGCAAGTCAAAACTACAAAGCACGCAACCTGAACCCACCTGTGGCCTTAAAGCAGCCAGGTGGAGTATCGGGATCAGTATCTCCATCACCCTAACCCTGCCATGTCCTGTCAAGTACATGTCTACTGCCCTCTGGTGGTACGGTCTACAGGTGACCATTTTCAGAGGTGTGACCAAGTCACTGCTTTGCGAGTCACAAGTAAGTCATGAGTCTTTCCAGTCAAGTCTTAAGTCAAGTCCAAGTCAAAGACAACCAAGTTGAGTCCAAAGTCATTGATGTGGAAGTCCAAAGGAAGTCCAAGACCTTAACTTTGAATTTTCTAGTCATAATCAAGTCATCTGTGCTACTTCATTTAATGATGATAATAAATAAATTCCAGAAATAAAGCATCTTAAAGCTTCATTTATTTGCTCAAACAAGCAGAAAGTGCAACTGAAACAGATTCTAAACAAAGTGCTGCTGCATTTAGCAGAACAAGATCAAACCCAGAACCAAGAATCATTTAGGATTTTTGTCCATGTTGCACCACTTTTGTGCTAAAATATCAAATATGCTCAAGTCATCATCAAGCCAACCGATGCAAGTCGTTCAAGTCCGAGTCAAGTCTTAAGTCTTTATAGATTTATCAAGGCAAGTCAGACGTCATTAAAATAATGAATGAAGTCTGACTCAAGTCCAAGTCATGTGACTCGAGTCCACACCTGTGGCCATTTTATTTCTATAGTTCTGTTTAACTGTCATTTAATTACATAATGTAATATTATATAGACTCATGGACATGATTTTAGGGGGGGGGACATGTCCCCCCACTTTTTCCAAAGTCAAGTTTTGACCCCTGCACTTTTTACCATCCAAAAACAATACTATGCTATTTGAAACTGACTGGTTGAGCTCTAGGACCAAGCGGAAAACAACCGTTTGTGTTGAAGCCTGTTTCCCGTTAGCACATACAATAACGACCCCCCCCCCGTGCCCCCCCCCCCCCCACACACACACACTTCTAAAGTGAAAACTACGTCCATGTATAGACTGATGCATTGAATGCAGGTTTTTCTGCAAAGTCTTCACAACGACTTTCACTAACTTTTAAATGTCGCCTAAAACAAACAGGGATGAACAAAATAGCCCCCCCCCCCCCCCCCACCTTGATGCTGGCGGAGGCTCGGTGGCAGCGGCGCTCATCGGAACGTAGCTTTCTTCTACGTCATCGTCTTCAGAGCAAACGCTGCCCAGGGGTACCATGCCTTTATTAAACTGGGAAACAAAACAGCATTTCAAAGAGGAAGTGACCCGAAGGTCCACATGGTGCGTTTAAGTTTCAGCAAGTATTTGGTTTAACTTACAAAGTAGCTGTTGAAACTTTCGCTGAACTCAAACATGCTGGCTCTGTCTGACCGAGACAGAGGAATGTGCCAGGAGCCTGAAACACAAAAGCACCAGTGTTTTATTTTCGTTTAACTTCCAACGGCGCAGAAACATGATAGACTCTGATAATGCACAACGTAAAAACAACAACACTCTAATATTTATATATATATATTTTTTAACTTTCAGGCAAACATGTTGTGTGTGTTTTCCACAGTGCAAACAGAGCTTGACCAGATCTGAATCTAATTGGTGCTAACAGCCCGGCACCAGAGACATCTGTGTATTAAACCAAGTCCATGCTTGTCTGGATGAGGAGAATTCGGCTGTAAACGTCCCTATTAATGTTCTTTTTCTCCAACAGGGAATAAAGCGGTTTCAGCATCGCAGTAGAAGAATGTTCCTGCTGAAACACACCTTTGTCCTGCTGGTGGACAAAGTTCTCATCCTAATGATCCTAACGCTGATCAAGCTAATAAAACAAGTGCTAATTGTTTCAGATGCTGAAATGTGAGTGGAGCAAAGCTTCTTAACATCAGTGTTCTAATTTCCTGCTGGGTCACAAGGTTTGATTAAGTATGTGTTAATAACGCAGCTAGTTTTTTCCTGCCCTTTGGCAGAAATGTGTGTGTGTGTGTGTGTGTGTGTGTGTGTGTGTGTGTGTGACACTTTGAATCTCTCTATGCTATTAGACAGAAAATCTAGAAAATTCTTTGACTTTTAGAATAAACTCAAATAAAGATGGCCGCCACAGCTAGGTGCAATTAGCAAAAGGGGAACAAAACCCCCACAAAAGCATTGCTTTAATTTGACTGATAATAAGCAAAATTTAATTTGCTGTGGCTTCACAACTTAATCTTGATGCTAACAGATTGCATCAAATTTTGCAAAATTGCATGAAATTAAAATAACCAAATAGTTCCCGAGCGCAGCCGTGTCTGCAGCTCACCGCTCCCTACGGGGATGGGTCAAATGCAGAGGACAACTCACCAGTGTGTGTGATGACTAATGGAACTTTAATTAAACGTAATATTTTCAAGATGGTTGCCATTGATGGATGACGAACTGAAAGATGCTAACTGCTAGCCTGTTTCTGGTAAATGGCCTCCGCTACCGTCGCCCGTAGGAGCTTCAGTAACTCAGCCAGACTGTGGCTAACCCGAACCCCAAAGTTTCTCAGTAGAGCTTTCTAATTCTCTTATTCTTGTTGCCTAATTATATTTTTCATAAGTTATATTTTGAGCTTCAGTGACTTCTGTGAATTTAGCCTTTTCTTTAATGGAAGGATATGAATAAACGTGAGAATTACTGTGTAAACGTGGCTCACATCCTAAAGTAGAGAGGATTTGTTTTCACAGAACCAGCTAACAATAAATGCATTATATCATATGAGTGAATAAGTGTAATGTAGTGCATTTGTCTGTTGGTCAAAATGTGAAAGCTGAAATGTTTCATTAAAAAAGAGGATCACTCAACTGGGCTTAGCCCCGGATCTTTTTCAATCCTAAATCCGCCCCTGGTTATGCTGTTGTTACCTTTGGTTTGATGTCCTCTGTTTGTGCGTCCCTCTCTCCTCTCTGGCTCCGAGTTGGCTCTGGGTAACGTAGCAGGTCCCGAGCTTTCTCCATGAGTGGCACTGGGAGGGGGCTTGGGTGGCCGAGGAGGGGGCGCTGGGATGGAAGCGTGGAGCTCTGCTGGTATGAGGGAGTCTACACTGGGCGTTGATGATGGCCGGCGAGGAGGAAGCTGCTGAGGTGTGGAGGCTGACGCTGGACGGGGGACCTGATAACCGCTATTTGCGAACGAGAGGTCCCCGCCCACATGTGTGTCCTCTCTGAGCGAGGTGGCCACAGGACGCAGGTGGAAATCTAGAGAGTGTTTTCTGGGATGAGGAGAGGGGTGACAGTGAGGCCTGCCGGCCTGTTTGTGGAAGTCAGAGGTCATGCTGGCGTCCAGCGATTGGCTGAGGGGGCTCGTCATTGCAGATAGAGTCCAGGGGGCTGTCCTGACGCTGGAGGATGGAGGGGGGAGGCTGTTGGGAGGGAGGGACGGAGAGGAGGAGGAGGAAGAGGAGGTGGAGGTGGCTGAAGGATGAGGGAAGATGTTGTCGTTGTAATCAGTTTCCAGGGAGGTGAAAGAACCCAAAGGAGGCCTGAAGAAAAATACGAGTTATCCTAACCTAGCTTAGATTAAAAAGGCTGCATTTGGGTTTAATCTAGCTCAGTAAAAGAAAACAATGATGTTTTTTTTTCCTTTAAAGTTGTAATACAAATAATAGCCAAGAATCTGTGGATCCTTTCCACAGATGCACCAGGAACACGTGGGTGTGACTGAGGCGGAGGACCTCCATCCTTCAGTCCGACGTGTCTGAACCTGAAACTCTCAGCTGCTCTGTTCTGGTTTTTCCTGGAGATCCTCGGCTTGTTCTAACACCCGTGGTTCTAGGAACTAAATGAGCTAATCTTTCATGGCACATCTGACTCATTACGGATGCGAAAGAGGCCTGAGCTAATCCCTCTGATTGTCATCAGTGTGTTGTTAGTCTCACTGGATCCAAACAGTTGGGAAGCGCATGAAACTGAAGCAAGCTGCAGCACGTTTGGCTCGTTTTGGAGGCGTAGGAAACGAATTTCACTCTTTGATGTAACGTCATTAGCCCTCATCTTGCTAATACCGGGTCATTAAGTTGTAAGATCAGGGAGGTTTGAAACTGTTAAATCCAGCTTTAAGTATTAATTTAGTTCTGTGTTTGTGTTTTTTACCCCATGTGACTCTGGCAGTTTGACAACCACAGGTAGTCTTCCTCCGTGCTGCTGTCGTGCTCCAGGTGACGCACGCCCACCGGGTCATACGGAGGCGGGACAGACCCGGTCACCATAGAGATAGAGGGGGTACCACTGGTTGTGGTCACGCATGTGGAGGCGGAGCTCAAACGTCTTTCTGAAAATGTAGAAAATGGAACTGGTAACATAATCATGAACAGTCACGCGTGTTAAAACGTACTCGTCCATCACACAACAGTACTAAACTGGTTAAACCTGGACTAGATAACTAAATAAACACTAAACCAGCTGCTGGTTTAGGAACAGGACCGGCGAGTTAGCGGCTATTCCTGTCATCGACTTCAAAGCACATCTCGTTGTTGTTATGTAAACATTTACACAGCTGTACATGTTGTATTGTGGTCCTTATTTTGCACAGCAACAATATTTTGGCAGCAGAAGGAAATCCTGCTGAATTTTGACCTTTTGCTGCACCAGGAGTGCAACATTAATGGTGACATTTAGTCCAGAACAAAACCAGCTAACAAAGAAAAGTTGGTCAAATATCGTTCGCATTTCTATAATTGGAATTTAAGCTAGTTTACAAAAGGGACCCTGCTGATGCGTTGTGTCTCAGGTAAGGTGTCAGAGAGGAGGGGGAGTGTGTGTGTGTGTGTGTGTGTGTGTGTGTGTGTGTGTGTGTGTGTGGGTCAAAAAGAGCTAAAAAACAAAAATAATCCTTTAACGTTATTCGAAAAGTCTAAAAGGCCAATTTAGAAGTTTAGTTAAAAACGACTGATAACTTTAAATTCTGTCCATCACATCAGTTCCGTCTGGTGTATTAAAACGGTTAAAATCAGATCATATTCTTCAATAATCTAATCTAGATTAAGCAGACAGAATCTTTTCCTAGATGGTGCGGTGAGGCAGAACCCCAGCCCAAGTGGAGCATGGGCCGGAGGAGGTCAGGTCCATGTGTGCAGCAGCCCTAACCCTGACCAGCTAAAGCACGAGGGAGGATGTGACACGGACACGAGGCGCTTACACGTCAGACATCAGGGACAGGTGTGAGGAATCAGTTAGCCAGTTAGATGGTATCTGATCTATAAACACGGGCACCCTGACTGTCAGCCTGCTGCTGTAGTAAATACTTACACTGGACCATGCAGCCAAAACATAAAATCCACTCATCTCTGCAGAAAACTATCGCCTTCATGCATCTGCAAGCAGACATCTGGTAAAAAGTTCACTTACGCTGTAGAAAGACCCAGTTTAGATGGATGATTACAGATTTCTACATTTTGCTGTAAGACGTCCTTCATGACTGACTCAGTGACAGTCCCAGCGACCTCTCTGTCCCTCTCTTTCTCTGCTGCTTTCATGGTTTCTCCTCCTACCAGTTTTCACGCTGACTCAGCATCAGCCCACACGGACCAACCGTCCATCTCCAAACACCAAACAAGTCAAATCTACAGGCATGTCTTCCAGCCTGAGTGTGCCGTACCGTCATCCGTTGGGTTGAATCCACAGAGGAGGCAGATGGACGTCACCCAGCGGTTCATGTCCTCCTCGGACTCGGCCACCAGGTACCAGGTCCTCTCCTCCGTCCTCAGGTCAAACACGAAGCTGCTCTCCAGCTCTTTCTTTGTGAAAGACAAACCGGCGTCCACCTGGAATTGAGACAAGGAACATCCAGACTCGTGAAACACGTCAACGCGACCTCTGACCTTTTCTCCAATCACGTTTTACAACACGTACCTGTTCACACAGATTCAGATTGATGGTCCCAATTGGCCGACGGGAATTCTGGTTCTTGTAGTACTGCAGAACGTCGGGTTCTCCACTGAGTCGACCGCTCCTCAGAACAAACCAGCGCCTTTTCCACGCCTGGACAGACAGTTGGAGAAAAACATCAGCTATCCAAGAGCGTTCTAGACTTCTCCTGTGGACATTCCTGCAGCTGGGAACTAAAGTAGGTTACTGACCATGGACGTAATTTTGGGGGGGACAGGGGGGGACATGTGCCCCCCACTTTTTCCAAAGTCAAGTTTTGACCCCTGCACTTTTTACCATCCAAAAACAATATTACGCTATTCTAATTTGACACTGGTTGAGCTCTAGGACCAAGCGGAAAAGAACCGTTTGTGTTGAAGCCTGTTTCCCATTAGAGCATACTGTAAAGACCCCCCCCCCCCCCACACACACACACACACACTTTTAAAGTGAAAATTACGTCCATGTTACTGACTGTAGAGTCTGATTATGTAATGGTCTTTTCTCTCCCTCCATCAGCTTCTGCATGTTCTAGCTCCAATATCTGACACTCCGGTTAGCACAAACATTAAATCACCCAAAACGGAGATGAAGGTGATTTTTAAATGTTGGACAATGTTTTCTGGATGTTTCCTTCATGCAAGGAGCGTTACGGGTGGAGGACATCTCCCACACCCGCAGGATGGCACCTCGTGTTTCAGACATGACTCACTGCCCGTGTGTGTGTGTGTGTGTCAGAGGTTGTAGAGCGCTAGTGTGTAGGTAGTGCTAAATGCGCCTGATGATTTTTAAAGGTGTGAATCAGAGCATGAAGAAAGGTTTTTATTTAAAAGCGTTGTGTGGAACGACATACGTTAAACTGAACAGCAGGATTTAGCTTGGTGCTTCTGTGGAGGTTGAAGATGTTTTAGTGTGTTCCTCTGATCAAAGGTGACCTTCTTTAAAGCACTTGGTTCTCTCCCAACACAGACAGGAAGAGGAAGTAGCTGGACAGGAAATGCTGGTAAGAAGTGGCAGTGGAAGTGTGTGTTTATTCTCTTCCCCCAACAATCTGTTTGATAATCGCTCGTCCCGAGGCTCCAGCCTGATGGACGCAGGCGGGAGTCCGTAGGAAAATATTGTTTCTGTTTTTTTCTAAACGGAGAAACTTTTGTGCAACGTTTCTTTTGGCCACGCCTCGTTTCAGACCGGGTTTATTCAGTCGGGTTACACGGTAAAGCCTCTGCTATGTTCTCTGGCTGTTGGAATAAACACAACTGTTTTTGGTGTTTGTGTGATGTTGTGTATTTTTTAAGGCGCAGGGCTTATTTATTACTTGTTACCCTCATTTTAAAGTAATTCATTACATTACAATATTACTGATTTTAAAATGTAAGGCATTACACTACTTTTGCATTACTTTAAGTTACTTTCACCAAAACAACTTCAATATAAATCTGGTCATGTGACGCTCAGTGAGCTCATGACATATATGTGGAAGGTGATGTGGTGTCTGAGCTAGGATTGCTGTTAAAAACAGTCAGATTTAATAACAGTGCTTTAAAATGATTGTTTGTTAAATAAAAGCAACAATGATCTGTACTCTCAGCACGCTGCCATCTTAGATTAACTGAGTAGGGAGTGAGGTGGTGGGGGCTCCAAGCCTATATTTGCCTTGGTCCCCAAATGCCTTGATACGGCCCTGGATGTGGGACTGACTTCTGGGGTGATCTGATTCTATCACATGTATAAATATTAAATGCTTATATATTATTGCTTTTCACTGGTACAAATGTGTGTTGGGGATAAATCTACCTACTTTTTTCTTTTCAAGCACTTTGTTTTGTTTTCTTGATTTTATGTGAATAATTTCCTGCCCTTTCTCTCTAACCTTCCTGCATGCTGCATGTTTTCTCCGTCTTCTAGAAAAACTGTAAACTAGATTTCCTAGTTTCTAACTAATCAGCCAAAGGGATCTACCGAACACAAAAATAAATAAATAAATAAATAAATAAATAAATAAATAAATAAATAAAAAAAGCTTCGCGCTGCACTCCAGCAGCAAGGAGTTGAAATCACCGGTGCACAGATTATGAACTCAGCTGAAAAGTACATGAAGTACCAGAGAATATGGGCTGATATAAACCATCGCAAACGAATGACTTTGCTTTGGTGGAGCGATTTTGTGAATATAATAGCGGCCGCGCGCAGGACGTAGCTGGAGTATTTGAGCAGTTACCGCTGCGTCCTCTCTGCTCATAGAATGCCCGCAAAGCTGAGTCCATAAATGACGTCATATATGTGGATACTGGATCTTTTTTCAGGCTTCCCGCAATTAGAATTTTTAGGAAACCCACATCTAGATTCTGGGTTTAAAAATGCATTGTAATTACCGCGTTACTGACAATTGTACCGAGTAAATATTACCATTTTCTTTCCCTGTAATGCCTTACATTACCACATTACAGCAAAAAGCAATGCATTACAGTAGTTAATTACTTTTGTACCGCGTTACTCCCAACACTGATTGGGAGCACATAAGAAATGCTTGCATGGCCGTGCAGCTACGGTTCTGATGTATTTTTAGAGGTGCAGCTTGACGACAACGATTCATATTTAGAGCATGAATTAACCCTTTGATGCATGAATGATGAAATCTTCAACCAAGATTTTTGAAACAATTGTTTTTCATACATATTTGGGTGTGAATGAAACAAATTTCAACCAATATTTTTTATAACGTTGAATAATTTACAAATAATTTATTACATGTCCACCTCAGTTGTACCGAATTATGTTGGCTTGACTTACTGAAGTCCAAATGGAGGAGCTCAAATTCATTAAAGTCTTCAACAGCTGTGCTTAATGGCAAAATTAAATAAATAACAATTTTGAGTACCTGTCCACTTTAGTGACCGTTATGCATCAAAGGGTTAATATTCCCCAACTGGGGGCCTTTGACCCCAAAGGGTTAATTTTCTTTAACTCGTATTTTTTTTATTCAGTTATCACTTACTTTTGATTCTCTAATGAGTTGTATATGAATTATTTATTTCTTTTTTCTATTTTGTTTTTATTTTGTGTGTTATGTTTTAATTGTATATTAATTAGTTACTATGCTCATTTAATCTGTTTTTTTCTTTTTTTTTTCTTTCTTTCTTCTCCTTAGCCATCGTGTTCAGTATAACATCTTGCCACTGGACTACAGTTGAAAATTAGCCTGCTGGCTAACACTGGCACATTTACAGTAACGTATATTAATGTGCACGGTCCTTAAATAAATAAATGAAATGAAATAATCAGGGCTGCATGGTGGCGCAGTGGTTAGCACTGTTGCCTCGCAGCACGAAGGTTGCAGGTTCGAAACTCGGCTGTGGCCTTTCTGTGTGGAGTTGGGTGTTCTCCCCATGCATGCGTGGGTTTCCTCCGGGTACTCCGGTTTCCCCCACAGATCACAACATGCCCTATAGGTTATACATTGTAAGTCGCTTTGGATAAAAGCGTCTGCCAAATAAATAAACATAAACATAAGGCGTTACCCCCCCACCCCACAACCCCCCACCCTCCCTGAGATGTTAGGAATAACAAGGGTGATGTTTTAAGTAGATCCTGATTCTAATCAACAGGATCAAATATTAGCGTTCTCCGTGCTTTCTCCGCCTGTTTCCATGAACATGTCTGACTTTAATATTCATGTATAAAAAATAGTAATTTGGTTAAAAAATAAAAACACTGTTGAGACTGGAGAGGTTTGATGACAGATGAGTTTTGATCCGAGCAACATCAGCAAACCACATAAAACTTTATTTCCAACCACTAAACTGAACCAGAGAATAAAAAAAGTTTAAAAAGCGCTTTTTTAAAATTATTCTGTGAAGACGTGTTCTATTTTTGATTTAATCATGTGAAGGCGACATATTAGTAGTAATAGAGATAAGTTATTTTCCTGCAGCGATCTCCTCTGGTTTCCTGATGTTTGCTCCTTTGACCTTTGACCTCAGCCGGAAGCAGCTACAATAGAGTTAAAATATCTCTTCCCTTTTCCTGCCTCCAAACTAAAATTACCCCCAAAAGAAACATCTCCTTATTTAGAGGAACTCTCTACATGTCGATTCTCTCTCACCACCTTTAGAGCCGAGTCCATGAAACCTCAGACGTGACGTCGCCATCAGACTCTCAGAGGGTGGCTGTGGCTCACTCATTTATAGATCCCGAAAGTCATGGAGAACTTTTAATGGTTCCATCACAGGATGAAGAATAAAACTCAACAATGTGAAATCAGACTTGTTTACATTTGAAAACAAGTTTCAGGTCAGCTTCCCTCCCGTCAGACTGTCATAAACGCATCTGTGACGCGTACACCCGCTGACGTCAGCGACGTCACGTTTACGCTCTCTCCGTGCTTCCAGATGCCCTAAAAGCTTCCAGGCAGGCCCAGCTGAGAGCGATTAGTTTATTACGCAACACACACTCTCTCACACCCGAACGCACTTTCTCCTACACACACACACACACACACACTGCTTTCGACAGAGCAGGGAGGTTAAGAGGAGGTAGGCTGCAGCAGGAACTTCATCCACATTCTTTACAGGAACACGTGGAGGCTGCTGCAGCCTTTAGGGCCGCTCGAGTCTGGTTTTATGGTGTTGACAATGGAAACATAGCTGTGTGTGTGTGTGTGTGTGCTAGATTGTACATGCGAGGACTAAATCTTTTTTATGATGTCTTCCTCTTTGGTTTCCCCTGCTGACCGCCTGTCCTGTCCAGTGGTTCCCTCCAAAAAACCTTTTCCTGCAAACATCTCTGAAACCAGCTGATTCGTTAGAAGCATGCTGGGATGTCCCATATCTGAGCTCGTTTTCTCTGAACTGAAGGTTTCAAACAGCAACGCTACTAAAAATAGATCCCTCTTGCTCTGATTTAGTCCTCCTTTACTTTCCGTACAAACAGAGAAAGGAAGGCATGTGACCAAAGGAGAGGAAGAGAGAGTACAACAAATGAAAGAGAAAGAGTGATGGAAGAGTAGACCGCAGACATTGTTCTGCTTCTCCCTGCAAACGGGAGGAAATATGGAGGAGAGATGAGATTAGGTCAAGTCACGGGGAAGGCATGTCAGAAATGTGGTGTGTGTGTGTGTGTGTGTGTGTGTGTGTGTCAGATCCAGCTCTCTGGCATCAGGTGTTGGAGATTTGAATTTAAAGATGCAGAATGAACTTTGTGTCGTTTCCACTAACCGTTGAGTTAACTGTTAAAGATTTACAGTAGGAAATGGAAACCTGGTGCTGTGGATCCAGATTTAACAGTTTGGTTTATTATCAGCAGACAAAAGTTAGATGAGAACGTTTCTGGGTCTCAGCTCAGCGGCTGCTCTCTGCTGGACGTGTTTATTGTTTTACAGTCATGGCTTTAGGAAATGACTCACGTCCACGGTGACAGCACACCGATGATGATTAAAGTTAAGAAAAAATACTCAGATGAGCATCCATCAACACCAGTCCAGTGCCGGTGGAGTGTGTTTAATCTAGTTAGAAATAAAGAAATAGATGAGTTTTTGAAACTGAGAGGACTCACGTATCTCCGTAGCTTCTTCTCTGGTGGGGATTTCCTCAGCCATCCTTCACACACCACATCTGCCGCTCCGCTCATCCTGATGTTTCTGGTTAGTCAGTCACCCTGTCAACAGCCGGTCGGGAGTCAGATCAGGTGAAGATCCCGTCTGAATCCACAGACTCAACCAGCAGAACCTCGTACCAGACTCCAGCCGGCAGGAGTTTGAATCAGAAGAACCCAAAACAACTCAGGACCTCAGATCAGCTCTGTCCTCACACACGTTTCCCTGGCTGAGAAGAATCCTGTTTGGGAGGAGCTCATCCACACACACACCAGAGCTGCTCCGCGTCTGCTGACTAACGCAGTCACACCTCCTCCTGAGAGACTTATTTCCCAACAGAATCACTCCTCCCTCCATAACCAAACACAATCCCTCAGCTCAGACATTCCTTCTCTCCTCTCCTCCCTCTCTTTGGCTCCTCCCCTTCCTGCTCACTCCCCCTATTCTGTTAGACAGGAAAAAAATCCCCCCCCCCCCCATGTGTGAGGAATGGTTTTCAAACAAAACTTTCAGCAACCGTCGCCAGTTTTCAGGTCTTCTGATGCAAAAAACTAAATCCCGAGTTATGAGAACGGACATTTTTCAATGTTTTTACTAAATTTTTCTGAGAACTGTCTAAACCCCCTTGATGATCGATTGTATGTTAAAATAAGTTTTCAATACAACAAATATCAGGCATCATTTTGTAATATTATACCAATATTTACCACAGCCACCACTCTGTGATAATTACTATTAAATGATTACATTTCATAAATAAACTATAATGTTTTTTTCTTCCACATGATTCATCAGCGTTCCCCTGAGCTTTACACTCACACACACTGAACCGTTTTTATTGCCAAACTCATAACGTTCATGCACAAGCGCCTCTACTGTTCTGCCCTTAAAACAGACGCAGGTTTAGTCGTGAATCTCTGGAGCTGCGCACTTACCATACCGACTGGTTTGTGGACTGCTGCTCCACATGGGAAGACAAAACAATAGAACTAATGACAAGGAGGCAAACGGGGGGTGACTCTGGGGGAATGCCCACCCTCTGGAGAACACCCTGCATTGCTCCAGTGCCCAAAAATAACCGGGCACGTGAGCCAAATGACTTCCAAGTAGAGGCGCTCGCATCACACCTAAGGGTGACCAGATCCCAACTTGGCACACGTGGGACAGAGACAACTCAAATATGGGACAACGTTAAGCTCCACTGTAATGAGAAAAAACAAACAAACAAAACGTATATTCTGCCTGTTAGTCCTCTGTTAGCCCTAACATCACTGTTACATATACATACAATGATTATTCTTATTATTATCATATATTTCCTGTATATATTTCATTTGAATTCAACGTGAGGAAGCATACAGCAAAAGCTTTACTATTTCACAGTTCCCCTCAAGTTACCACATTACTCAGTAGTGGCTCTGATCATTTTAATAATATAGATCGGCCCACAATAATAAAAATGCAGGTTTAAGCAGCTTTTCAGAGTTTTCATTGAATGTTTTCCACAACAGAATGACAGTAAAAGTACCAGTAATATTTTTTAGATCTTTTTATGTTTGTTTTAATTAATTTTCCACTAACATCAGCATCTCATTTAAAAAAATATCCATACTTTTTTGCCATTTTTTTCTTAATTCAGAAACAAAACGTTTTTTTAAACATGACAACAAATCTTTTCTAGATTTTAGGTGAGATAATAAACATCAAATTCTAATCTGTAAAAAGTCAGATCTAATCTGCAGGGAGTGCAGAATTATTAGGCAAGTTGTATTTTTGAGGAATAATTTTATTATTGAACAACAACCATGTTCTCAATGAACCCAAAAATCTCATTAATATCAAAGCTGAAGGTTTTTGGAAGTAGTTTTTAGTTTGTTTTTAGTTTTAGCTATTTTAGGGGGATATCTGTACAGGTGACTATTACTGTGCATAATTATTAGGCAACTTAACAAAAAACAAATATATACCCAATTCAATTATTTATTTTTACCAGTGAAACCAATATAACATCACCACATTCCCAAATATACATTTCTGACATTCAAAAACAATACAAAAACAAATCAGCGACTGTTACGGCTGGAGCCTTTTTTGTGTTGTGATTTCATTTTTTTGTGCATTTTATGTTGCATCTGAGGAGCCTGCCTGCAGACTATGTTGGCTCACCCTTGCTCCTCCCTGCACCAGCTGAGCTGGGTTTTCATCAGCCGCAAATTGTTTAAAGGACCAGCTGGAGCTCCTCACCAATGGGGGACAATAGTGCAGAGCTGCCTTTCCCCTGGTCTGTTGTCTCCCACTTAGAACTTCGATATTGTGCTCTTACTGTTTGAACCTGTTTTGGTAAAAGTGGATTTAGATCCGTGGTGGTTAAAAGAATAATAGTCATCTTTTCTGAATTAAGAGAAAGTAAATAAAACCTTTGTTAATTTTCCTTTGTGTCACGCGTCCTCCATGTTACCCCAGGCCCCCTAGACACCTGGTTGTAACAGCGACCAATATAGCCACCTTTCTTTGCAAGGACACTCAAAAGTCTGCCATCCATGGATTCTCTCAGTGTTTTGATCTGTTCACCATCAACATTGCGTGCAGCAGCAACCACAGCCTCCCAGACACTGTTCAGAGAGGTGTACCGTTTTCCCTCCTTGTAAATCTCACATTTGATGATGGACCACAGGTTCTCAATGGGGTTCAGATCAGGTGAACAAGGAGGCCATGTCATTAGTTTTTCTTCTTTTATACCCTTTCTTGCCAGCCACGCTGTGGAGTACTTGGACGCGTGTGATGGAGCGTTGTCCTGCATGAAAATCATGTTTTTCTTGAAGGATGCAGACTTCTTCCTGTACCACTGCTTGAAGAAGGTGTCTTCCAGAAACTGGCAGTAGGACTGGGAGTTGAGCTCGACTCCATCCTCAACCCGAAAAGGCCCCACAAGCTCATCTTTGATGATACCAGCCCAAACCAGTACTCTACCTCCACCTTGCTGGCGTCTGAGTCAGACTGGAGCTCTCTGCCCTTTACCAATCCAGCCACAAGCCCATCCACCTGGCCCATCAAGACTCACTCTCACTTCATCAGTCCATAAAACCTTAGAAAAAGCAGTCTTGAGATATTTCTTGGCCCGGTCTTGACGTTTCAGCTTGTGTGTCTTGTTCAGTGGTGGTCGTCTTTCAGCCTTTCTTACCTTGGCCATGTCTCTGAGTATTGCACACCTTGTGCTTTTGGGCACTCCAGTGATGTTGCAGCTCTGAAATATGGCCAAACTGGTGGCCAGTGGCATCTTGGCAGCTGCACGCTTGACTTTTCTCAGTTCATGGGCAGTTATTTTGCGCCTTGGTTTGTCCACACGCTTCTTGCGACCCAGTTGACTATTTTGAATGAAACGCTTGATTGTTCGATGATCACGCTTCAGAAGCTTTGCAATTTCAAGACTGCTGCATCCCTCTACAAGATATCTCACTATTTTTGACCTTTCTGAGCCTGTCAAGTCCTTCTTTTGACCCATTTTGCCAAAGGAAAGGATGTTTCCTAATAATTATGCACACCTGATATAGGGTGTTGATGTCATTAGACCACACCCCTTCTCATTACAGAGATGCACATCACCTAATATGCTTAATTGGTAGTAGGCTTTCAAGCCTATACAGCTTGGAGTAAGATAACATGCATGAAGAGGATGATGTGGACAAAATACTCATTTGCCTAATAATTCTGCACTCCCTGTATATATATATATATATATATATATATATATATATATATATATATATATATATAGATAGAGATATATATATATATATATAGATAGATAGATATAGATATATATATATATATATATATATATATATATATATATGTATATATATATATATATATATATATATATATATATATATATATATATATATATATATATATATATATATATACGTATATTCGAGTTTAATCTACGAAATCCCGGTGCCGGGAGGTCCACCTGACTTCTGACAGTCCAGATCTGCTGGGGGTCTCCGCCAGAGTATGTAGACAACAGATTGCGTCTGATGCTGTTTTATTAATAATCAGCTCTCTAGTTTATAGCGGACAACAAATTATTTTACACCCAGATTTCACAATTTCTTTCAGATACAAAGATTCTGATAAACATCTAGCTTACATCACACCACCTACACCTCACATTCCATCACCGCATATCCACTCCATCACATCTCATTATTCATGTCTTGTCATGTATAATCATTCGTTTAGAAAATAATAAAATTCCTTTTTAACTATATACTGACTCTTTCTGCATTAATACGAAGTGTGTTTATGGTCCCTGAACAAGTTAAAGTAACTATAAACTTCTGATTAAACATTCAAAGATCAATCAGATTGATATTTCATATTCATATGAAATAATTACATCTTATTGGTCATGATTAGTGTGCAGTCGTCATGCTATGAAGTGTGACCGCTACATTTTTCTCTCTTGCTTTACTTACTGCCTCATTTCTTTTCCTTTATCACGCATAAATGACTGTTAGATGATTTATTGCTGCTGGAAGACAGAATCCCCCAAAGGAACTTTTTCCAAAGCATCAATTAAGTTCATCTGAGTCTGATTGCCTGCGATGGACTGTCAACCTGTCCAGGGGGTATCCCGCCTGAGTGCCCCCCCCCCCGCGACCCTGCGTGGACAAAGCGGGTTCAGAAGATGGATGGATGGATGGATGGATGGATGAGTCTGGTTGAAGTGAGGGAGGACGGTCAAGGTTTTGTGTCTGATACTACCATCTAGTGGTAGAATGTGCAAACTGCATGATCTGATGATGAGATCTGTGTGAAGGCACTCAAAACCATTTATCAGTTCTTTAAGAAGATTCCTTTTATATTCCTCTAAAGCAACTAAATATTAAAAAGACATAGACAAAGGGTTTTAGAGGTTGTGTGAGGCGTCTGGTCATCGTAACCTTCTGCTCACAAATGTGTTTTCTTGTTTCCATAGAAACACAATAGAATAATTTGCCTGTAGAAATGAAGCATATATAGAAAAGATAAATTAGGAGTTTGCTCAGCATTATGCAAAAAGCATCCACAGAGCTCCCCGCAGCTGCTGCACAAACTGTCCCACAGAAGTGCTGAGGTACTGGATCAGATCCACATCAGGTTCAGAACTTCTGACTCTGAAACGCAGCAGGAAGACAGAAGGAGAAACTACAACAAGGTGGGTTCCTAATAATTATTATGGCATAGCTTAAGTTGCATTCGAGGGCTGAAGAGATTTGTCCAAAAATGCAGAATAAAGAACCCGAATTCTAAAGATCCAAATGTGAAGATAGAACAAATTAGATTAGATCTGCTCACCGAAGCCACACACACGCACACACACACACACACACACACACACACACACACACGCACGCAC